TTTTAAAAAAAGCATTTTCACAGCGTTTTTTATATGTGTGCATATTCCACCCTAGTTTGGAGAAAATGATAAAATGGGCTATCTATATCCCATTTTAGATATATGTACTTAATATAACAAGGGACGCGGGTGGCACTGTGGTCTAAACCACTGAGCCTCATGGGCTTGCCGATCGGAAGGCTTTGGCGAGTGGATATCAGATTTACCGCCTGCTATACTGGGTTAAACCACTGAGCCTAGGACTTGCCAATCAGAAGGTCGGCGGTTCGAATCCCCGCAACGGGGTGAGCTCCTGTTGCTCGGTCCCTGCTCCTGCCAACCTAGCAGTTCGAAAGCACGTCAAAGTGCAAGTAGATAAATAGGTACCACTCTAGCGGGAAGGTAAATGGTGTTTCCGTGTGCTGCTCTGGTTCACCAGAAGCGGCTTAGTCATGCTGGCCACATGACCCAGAAGCCGGCTCCCTCAGCCAATAAAGCGAGATAAGTGCCACAACCTCAGAGTCGGTCACAACTGGACCTAATTGTCAGGGGTCCCTTTACTTAATATAACATAAATGTAACCAAGTTGAGCATAAAAAAAGAGCAGCTATGCAAATGAGACATATACAGTAGTACAAAATCCCATCTAACCTCTATGTAGCCTCACAAGAAGCCCTAATCTTATTTGAAAGGATTGCTTGGCATATTGTAGGTAGCTGATTGAGCGGTGAAGTGAATGGAGTCTCGCCCAACCCAGCTTAAATGTGATAGCTCCTGAATCTTCCTGAGCTCCTTAGATGATAGAGAGGGGAAAATATGGGGATTAATAGTAGAACTTTTTTGTACATGTGTTTTTTTTAACACACACATGGACCCGGACACACAAACAAGCAACTCACAAGTGCAAATCTACTTAATTTATTTTAAATGTGTTTCTTGAACCAAGTGACCTTTGGGGACCCGAAGAAATAGCCATAAAGCAATGAGCCCAGAGAGAGTGACCACCTTACATTCTTTGCCAATTAAGTTATTTTCAAGTTATGGCCTCATAAAAATCCAAGTGCATTTTACATCCACCCAGGTTTTTATTGCTTCATCCTTGGAGATTCCTAAACTATTCCTTCTTGCTGAAATTTCTAAGATATCATTCAATTGTTTAATGAGAGAGCGAACACATCTGTGATGAACATGTTCCCTTTCTGTTGTTGAAAAATATTTGTTAATCAGACTCATCCATCAGGTTGAAGCCAAGCCGGCTAAATAAAACCTCGGTTCATAGCCACTCTTGGAGAAATGTGAACAGCACAGCAATCTGACCGAATCCAATACAATCCCTTTTCATGGGACTGAAGATAAAAAGAGATTTATTAAGACTGTGCACCATTACAGTAATTAAAGTATTTCTGTTAGTTTTGCTGACTTTAGTCTTTAGAGAGGGAAAGTAGACAGGATTATTTACCTGTTCTTATACATTACTATTCCTCACTATATCAGACTGTAATTGTGGGTTACATCCAAAACTCTTTCTACTCAGAGTAGACACACTGGAATTAATGACCATTATTTACTTGGGTCCATTAATTTCAATAAGTCTACTCTGTGTGTAATTTAGTTGGAGTCAACCCATTGCTTCCACTCTTCTGCCTTTAATAATGAGAAAAACTCCTCCAAGATAGCTAACAAATCATGGCAGAAACATTACAATGAATAAGCTGGGCCCCACTTCCCAAAACTGACTATTTTCCTGGAAAATTGTCACAGAAATGCCATTCAATTTTTCTGCTGAAGACTGGGACTGAACATTTTAGGAGGACTCCAACTCAGCCCTAATTTTTTAATCTTAGTACTTCTTTCTTTCTGTAATTGGGAATGAAAGAGAAAATATAAAAAAATGGCATTTCCTTCCAATAACAAGTGGTGTTATTTGTTAATGAAACTGCAAGTTGTTTGACACATGAAAAGGCAGCTGTGGTGAATTTGCTGCAAACTGAAAAGCCGCTATTTAGATGGGTTTAATCAAGATTTCAGTTAAGAGGCAGATGACCAATCAACTACACATTCGTTAATCGGAACACAAACCCTAGTTGGAATCTGACAGCATTAAGGTAGAATTATTTTTTGTTTAGTCATTTAGTCTTGTCTGACTCTTCGTGACCCCATGGACCAGAGCACGCCAGGCACTCCTGTCTTCCACTGCCTCCCGGAGTTTGGTCAAACTCATGCTGGTAGCTTCGAGAACACTGTCCCACCATCTCGTCCTCTGTCGTCCCCTTCTCCTTGTGCCCTCCATCTTTCCCAGCATCAGAGTCTTTTCCAGGGAGTCTTCTCTTCTCATGAGGTGGCCAAAATCTTGGAGCCTCAGCTTCAGGATCTGTCCTTCCAGTGAGCACTCAGGGCTGATTTCCTTCAGAATGGAGAGGTTTGATCTTCCTGCAGTCCATGGGACTCTCAAGAGTCTCCTCCAGCACCAGAATTCAAAAGCATACATTCTTCAGCGATCAGCCTTCTTTATTATGTAGAATTATTATTAAATGTAGAATTATTACATGCAAACATTTCATGTATATACTGTAAACTGCTCTGTGATTATCCTATGCTATAGGTCTCAGGTCTGTTGAGGAGCCTGTGCAACACATCACTCATTCATAATATGACCTTTTTTCTTTCTTTTGCACATTGGATAACTCAGGATAGAAATTTAAAAAGAGATGAATAAGGAATGCCTCTGCCCCACCCTATCAACTGCTAATGGTCTGCTTGCTTCCACTGTGGTTCAGGTGTGCATTGGAAATAAAACATTTTTCAAGATACTGTAAAACTCCAGTTGTCTCTCATCCAAAGGACACTAAAACTTGCAATGCTGCGTCTCGACAGCATAATAATATAGACTATTTTCCTCTACACATCTCCTTCCTTTCACATTTTTTTTGCATAGTGTTTCACAAATACTTATTATTTATTTGGCTGTCTTGCACTGAAGCCTCCAGGCAAAACATTGAGCTATGCAGGAAGTGAAGCAATAGTTATGAATCTAAAGAATCTGTTCAAACGGAATAAATATTCCTCCTGCAAACAGACACTGAATATTCAATGTGTCATTTCATAGGATACAGACTTGGTCTTAATAGCTGAAAAACACATTACTTTCTAAATGCCTTTGCATCTTCTTGCAATCCAGGATCTGTATGCTATCAGTGGACATAATCAGAGGGAAATAATAGCTTGCCTTACAGTAAATTTTCCCTATTTTTGTCTGGAGGATTTCTGATGGTACTTCTTATAGAGATTGCTTTCCTATTGAGATAAACGTATATGGGCACCTCTTGAGGGTTTGCGGCACCTGCTTATCACCCTGAAATTATATACCATGGTAATCAGATAAAGCTGCTTCTTTAGATGTGCTGTAGATGCTTTGAATTGATGCAGATGAAAGGCTTTTAAAAAAGATAATTCACAAAATAGGTGGATTCCCCACTGCTGGCATGTAAGTGGTGTAACATTCGTCGTTTCCCAAGCTGAGCTAAAAGTCACAGGCAAGAGATGGCAGTAGAGCTTCTGAAGTCTCCAACAAGCTGGAAGGATGCCCATCCAATTTCCAAGCGGTGGTAGAAAGGTGAAAGATGTCAAATGAAACCAAAACCTCAGATCTAACATCTCTGAGGTTTCATGTCAAATGGCATGTAACTTTTGTTATTTTTGCTACATCTCTACCAATCTCTACCTCCAGCACAAAGCAATCCTTCCTTCCTTAAGCTTGCACAAACATTTGTGGCTTAAAACGCAGTCAGGTCATTCTTTCTCTTAGTTTGGATTGAAGCTGGCTTGGGGCGGAAATGTATCAAAACACAGCAGGATAGATACAGGATAGGTACGGATAGTGGCCGACATCATACATACACTGCTTTCTATATCAGCAGTGGGGGCCACGGATGCAGAGCGAATGGGAGCATGTACACAACTGAATTTAGTGGCAACTTTATCTACTAAGAGACAGAGCAACGGAGAGGCAAGAGACTGCACAAATGAAGCCACGAGAAACTGTGCACTCAAAGTAAATGCAAGAAGTGAATGCCAAAAAAAGAGAAAAATTGTGTACAGTCCCTTTCAATTACCCCAGTTATGTGTTACATTCAAGGTAAGATCTCGGCACATGAGGAAATTAATAATAATAATAATAATAATAATAATAATAATAATAATAATAATTTTATTTATACCCCGCCCTTCCCCGTTCAGAAACCGGGCTCAGGGCGGCTAACAACAAATTTAAAACACTTTAAAACACTCAATTATAAAAGCAGCATAAAATACGGTATAGAAACATGAATAACAATAAAAATCAAAAATCAAAAATCAGTTAATTAATCCCCAGGGCTAGCTGGCTGAATTCGTCCTACCTGGGCCAGCGAGGAGGCCATGGGAGAATTAGCTGTGGGATCTCAGAGCAGGTGATCTTCATAAAAAGGGAGGGGGAGGGAACAGAAGGGAAATAAAAGATCAGGCTGAATTCAAATTAAAGGCGAGGTGTAATAGCTCTGTCTTACAGGCCCGGAGGAAGGAGGTTAAATCCCAAAGGGCCCTAGTCTCCTGGGACAGAGCATTCCACCAGGTCGGAGCCATCACTGAAAAGGCCCTGGCCCAGGCCCTGGTGGAGGATAGTCTGGCTTCCTTAGGGCCTGGGACCTCTAAACTACGGTTATTCATGGACCTTAAGGTCCTCTGCGGCGCATACCAGGAGAGGCTGTCCCATAGATATGAGGGCCCTAAGCCACAAAGGGCTTTAAAGGTCAATTAACCAGCATAAGGCCTCATTGAAGTGGACATTTTTGAATGAGCTTGCTCAAATGGTGCTCCCAGAGTATTGTGCTCCTTGTATTCCATTTGGTAAGACAGCCTCCTTCCTGCTCCACAAAAGAAAGAAAGAGAGAGAGAGAGAGAGAGAGAGAGAGAGAGAGAGAGAGAGAACCCCCCACATTATAAAGAATGTCTTGCTATTACTGTAGCATATATAGTTACTGTACCTCTCTGTAATTTTCGCTGACTCGGTCTAAGCTGAGAGAATACACCAGGTTCTTTCCTCCCACAAAGAGCCGGTCTTGATACTCATCCAAAAGCATTACATGAAGGCCGAGGTATCCAGATGGACTATGGAAGACTGATGTTCTGTTCAAATCCCAGAGCTCTGAAACACAACCAAAGTGTACATTATAAGTGCTGAAAAGCCTTACACTCATATTCCCTTGGGAAATTAGGAAAATGGTTCCGGGACAGTTAGATCTTCCCAAGCTTTTAACTTTATGGAATACCTGGGGTTTCGTTTTTGCATTCCCTTAACCTTAAAGGAAGGCTGAGTGGAGAGCTTTCCAATTCAATATTGCTTCTCAATACATCACTCGTACACTCACACAATAAAGAGAATCTTCTTTTTCAAGAAAGATATCTTTAGAAAAAATCAGAAAGGTTAGATTAAATCAATTGAAAGTCCTCTTTCATCCTTCTACTTGCCAGAGCTATACAACTGTATTGTCCTGACATAAATCGTCTAATGCCTAACAAGCTTATACTGGGGTAGCTAGATTTTGCACACAATTATATGCTGACACTTACTACAGGACTAAGAGTATAGATTTGTAGATTATATATCCTAAATTAAATTCTTCTCAAAAACCCCCAACACCCTACAACCACCAAAGATGCCATAATAAAGGTATTACAAGATACTACAAGACATGTCCATGTCTCCAAGAGGTGTAACCATTGCTGTGATATCTTTGGTGACTATTATTCAAAAATATGCATTCTAGTCTTATGGTTATGTCTTGAACCTGTCAACCTCATGTTGGCAAGGATGAAAAAGCAAGGCCGTTTCTTTTGCAGCCTTGGAAAAGGATCAAAACAATTTCTACTTCAGAACCATTGCCATAAAGAGCTGCAAGTTCTTGTGAGCCTTAGACATGTAGACTGCTTCTGCTATTTGATATTGTTTGACTGATGTATTTTATGCATTCTACTTTCATTTTATATTTATTTTGCATTAGCCTTTGGGCCAAAAGGTATATAAATATATGTGGTGAATAAAAATACACTACCACACCATCAGGTCTGATGTCTGATGGAGCACAGGTTGGAGCTTAGAAGCACACAATTTCAAAGATAGAAAGAAAGATCTCAAGTGATGGGTGATGGTGTAGATAATGTCATTATACAGTTTGGTCACTAAGAGGTACTAAACCTTAGCTATACCAGGGTTCCCTCACAGATGTCCTATTGCTGTTCTTAGTTAAGAGAAACCCTGTGCTTCTTCCTAACTTGTGTGCTCTTGAAGCCTTCCGAGTCAATGACACTTGGCCCAGCTCAGCCTAACATGAGATTGTTTTCCAGTCTACTCTTACCTCTCAAGCAAGCTTACACTTGTGCACTGGGGACAGGAGAACATTAGCTGAAGGCGAAAAAAGCTTACAGGAGAAAGGAGATGCTTCATCCGCCTCATCTTTAAGGTATGAATGTTCTGGAAATACTCAAGAGTTGTTTAAGGATTTTAGTTTCCTTCTGAATAGCTTTGGGGAAAGAACTAAGATCTCAGGTGAGAAACCTTCTAGAAAGAAGGGGGAAAGCTAGTTTCCACAGGACCCATCTTGAGGCTTACCCCCTCTTCAAAAATTCAAACCAGTTGGCTTTTGTACTTTGGCTAAAAGAAAAATACTAGTTAAAATAAAAAGGAGAATAACTGGATTCCTGGGTTCAGGTTTGTGGCAACTACTGTTGGGTGAGAGAGCCCTAGCAGAGACTTTTCAGTCCTGTTCTCATGCGACCATACACAATAGGCCGTGCATAAATATTTACAATATTCAGCATCCCTTAGTACATTTTTTCACAGAATCTTAGTACATTTTGATGTTCATTTTTCAATAGCACCAATTCATCACAAGCAAAAAGGATGTTATGGCCAATGCTTTGCACTGAAAGTAAAACAGGTTCTCAACTGAAACACATGAGGGGAAAACAATATTTTCCTCCCAGTTTGATTCGATGTGTATTTAAGCAGATACAGGTTACTCTTAGTCTCAAGTAAGTGTGAAAACTGACAACATATTTCATTTTAATAATGAGCACTCACACTTTACATTGCGGGTGCCCTTTGTGGGATCGCTCATGGTACTACAGTTCCCAGGGAGCTTACTGGCAAACAGGGGCTGGCTTGCCTCTCAGTGTTAATTTTTGGAGGTTTCACGCCCAGCCTCAGTAATCAAGTTTCTTCCTGGGAGGTGGGGCCAGCCCCATTTATAAACAGGGGGTGGAGCCGACAATAGCCAGGCAGTCGGCTCTGGAGCTTCACCCACCCAACCCTCCCTTTGTTTAATGTTTCTTGTTTGCAGGTTAACCTTTTCTTCCTGCTTAGCAGGTGATGCTATGGTCTTTGACTGGTTGCTGTTGAAGGACCGGGAAGAAATTTTCCTGCATTGGCAGGTTTTGTCTTCCCCGTAGCAATTCGTCACACCTTTGGCGGTTATGGCCTTGAGTGGAATCCTTTAGTCTTTTCTTCCCTATATGGGGTGGGGTGGGGCGTGAAGTGGTGACTCACCCCCTGTGGCGGCGATTCCAGGGTCCCCCTCTTAAAGGGGTTACATATATTGGTGTCCCTGGCCATACACTGAAAGGCTGTCAGTGAACTATCCTGCGTGGGGGGATATGGGCTGGGCTGCCTGCTACACTTACGTCTGGCAGAGCACCCCATATCCCATTTACTCTGATGAGCCCCAGTTCCCCCCGGTTGGGGGGCTGGGAGGGATACACGCCCAAGGCCTAAGCCAAGGTCTTCCTATAGTCAGACGTTCAATAAAATTGTGGCCTAATTTTAATTCCATATAACATTGTCAGAGTCTTTATTCCTTCCTTATGATCCCTGGGGGCTGGAGCTGTCACTGCCTGGTCATGCAATGGGAAGCTTTATAGAAAGGTGACTGAAGTTAGTAACAAAATGGAAAAAAAATTCTCTTAGAACAGTGAATCGTATGCCCCCCGATAGTTTTTCAGTGGAAGGCACCTCAGTCATTATCTATTGTACACCTAGTTGATATTCTGGTCAGAGCTGTGAAGACATTTCTGACAGACAGACAGGTGAAAGATTTTACAGAGTATATCGTTTGCACAAGCAGACCTACTTCACACATTCTCTAACCTCTTGTGAAATCTTCCTCAATCTCAAGTAATTATATGGAGCATCCTTCAAGGAAGATGCCTTCCAGATGTGGGGCACTGGTGAGGGGCATTTTGAACTCATCAATATGCAAGGGACCCCTTTCATGATTTCTTTATGGAGCAACGGTCCACGTTACCATATGTCCCAAGCAATAATATCCCAGACTGTATAATGTAATAATCTACAAAGTTCATGTAATGTGAGCAGACCATCCAACGGGCATCTCGTGTCCTCAACTATCAATTTAGTAAAGGGCTGTCAAATGGATTTCCTGCCATTCTTAAACCTGGGAATATTTGTCAGGATGTTGGCAGGCTACCAAGACATTTAATTTGTCTACGTTTCTTAGTACCTGCTGGAGAAGAGAATGCAAAAAATGCCTTTTAAAAAATGATAGACTTAGTCAGGTGTGGGGGGAAGACAGAAAGACTTCTTGTTTGGAGGGGGAGCAAAATTAGATGACAAAGCGGGTTCTCCTTAACAGAGAGCACGTGTTGCGGTTGGAGGAAACAAGCCACCTTTCCATGACTAGGCATATTGGCAAAACCCAAGCCTCCTAAGGGGTTAAGATTGGGTTGCTGGGGAGTTTTGTAGCCAAATTTGGAGGAGGGGTTAGAGGTTATAAATACAGGGGGCCAGAAGTTGGACTTCCTCTTGGCCGTTTTGCATCGGATCACCCGCCCTCCCTCCCTTTATTAGGGTGGTTTTCTTGATCGCTTGACCTTGCTATGCCTGTCATGGTGTCGTCTGCCTTGGTGCGGGGGCACGGTAGGAATTTTGCCATCTGGCTGATTGGCTGGTGCCATTTGGTTTTTGCCTACTGCGTAGCAAATCGTCACAACTTGTAAGGTTGGCGGTTAGGCATTGGTTAAATTGGTGCTTGGAGGGGTAAGTGCCTACCCCTCCAAATGATGCGAAGGGAATTCCGTTAAAGGAATCCGGGGGCTTGCCATTCTTTTCGTCCTTGTCCCTGGAATCGGACTTGGGCCGTGCAAGCCCCACAGGGACAAGAGGGTGAGAAGTGCGGGACTGATGCCCAGCTTCACGTTCTCACCCAATACTTGTTTCCCACACTGGATTCCGCTGGTGTCCGGAATGCCAGCTCTGTCCCTGAGGGCATGGACAGATAGTCATAACCAATGCCTAAGCAACCACTCACATTTTTTGTATTTGAATAAAGTTGTGGCCAAAATTATGCCAAAAACCTAAACAAAAAATTGATGTGTGAAGTGTGAATTTTTTTGGGGTGGCAATTGTGGGACTCAACACGCAATCCAACCTCCTGGCCAGTGGTGGCAAGGCCTGATGTAGAACTTCTGTCTACACAGCCCTGCTGCTCGTGCCACCCAGGGGTGTGGGGCGGGGTGTGTGTGGAAGGGACAGTACAATGTCTCTTTGTAGATTTCACCAGAAAGTGGAAATGGACCAGATACCTCAAGCAATCTCGTCCGCGGGCATGCAGAATTGTTCAAAGTTGTGCTTTATTTTAAAGCATTCCCATGACATAAATTGGAGGTGCAAAAGCGAATTGTAATTCATAAAGACAAGTCAACATCTGAAATTAAATGGAGTGATTATTGTTCTTAGAGCAGGTTAAGTGTTTCATGAAGTTCAGAAATTTATCCTCACACTTTAAAAAAGAAAAGAAAAGAGTGGACACTTTTTTCCTTTTTTTTTTACTGAAGCCATCCTGAAGACAAGCAAGACAGAGTGGTTTACATTTCCCCTTCTCAGTTGGATCTGGTTGCTATTACTGCACAGAATCCAAAAGGCTGTAAAAACACGAGACACATCTACACTGTAAAATTGGTTACAGCCTGTCTAGATTTTTAAGCGGCTCTGTATGACTGAAATTATTTTCCTAATTTTTCCTCTGTCATCTCCTATAAGAACTTGGTTTATGCTCCTTTGTGAACACATATCAAATTCAGCTAGTGTCATTGAAACTGATCTGTTTTTAGATCTTAACAATGGAAATATAA